CGTTTCCGCGAGAGCCGGCTTCATTGAGGAATAGCACCAGTACACGAGGGGAAGCATGTTGGACGTGATCCGGAACTCGCCAGTACTTGGCGGCAACAGTGGTTCGCGACTTGGCTTACTGTTCGGGCTAAGATATTTTGGCTGAGTTGGCTGAATTTTGCATGTGCATAGTCAAGCATGCCCAGGCAATTGCCCAGGCATCCATTTTTGGTCGCTCTGCCTCTCGAACGCAGCCAAAGCCGAAGCCTTCGTGTCATTGGTCCGAACTTCGAATTGTTCCATGCGTAAACTTGAACTGCGGGAGGAGAGGACCACGGGACCGCATCCACATAGATAGATAGATAGATGAGATATATATACATATATATCATACATACTTGCATGTGCACAATTCGTGTCCGGAAATACACTGATGCGTGCATGTATGATGCAGTTAGTTATATATATATATAGCATATGGATATATAGGTGTTTGTGTATACAAAGCCAGAGAGAGAGACAGAAAGAAAGAAAGAAAGAAAGACAGAGAGAGAGAGATACATATATATATATATACATACATACATATATATATACGTATATATACACACATTTACACATGTATATGTAAGAGAAGCATCTGGCTGTTTATTTGTTTGCTGATTAGTTTTGATTTTTTCGCAGTTCCTGTATCGAAAGTCTGTGCCAATACTGATGATAATGATGCTACTAAGGTTACTAGGCTACAACTGATTATAGTCATAAGGCATAAAGGCTTTAAGAGTAAATGTCAAGCCACGAAGCCAACAAGCCACGATGCCAACAAGGCATGCAGTTATGAAGCCAAGAAGCCAGAAAGTGAGAAGCCAGGAAGCCAAGATGCCACGTGGTGCCGATGCCAGGAAGCCGTTAAGCTGCGATGCCAAGAAGCCAAGTGGACGAAAAGCCGAGACGACCGCGAAGCCGAGGAGCCAAGAAGCCAAGGAGACGGGAAGGCAAGAAGCCTGGAAGCCAAGAAGCCACGCGTAGTTGCGATGTCAGGTAATCAGGAAGCCAGGAAGCCGCAAGGCGGGAAGCCAAGAAGCCAGGAAGCCGAGAAACCAAGAAGCCGGGAAGCTGAGAAGCCACGAAGCCAGGAACTGCGAAGCCAAGAAGCCAGGGCCGAGAAGCCAGGCAGATAGGAAACCAAGCCCAAAAATCAGCAAATTACTTCGTAAGTCGTAAATTTGTTCTTGATCCTTCCTATTTTTTTGATCGCGCTCCCCACACAGAGACATCCTTCCATCCATCCACCCATACAGTACATACATACATACATACATACAGACAGACTTACGTAGCACTGCATTGCATTGCGTTACATTGCTACATGACATTACACGACATGACATACTTGCAGAAGTACCGACCGACAGACTGACAGACAGACAGACAGGCAGAGACAAACAGATAGAGACAAACAGATAGAGACAGAGCGGCAAACAAACATACCGACACGCAGACAAAGAAACAGACCGACAAACAAACATACATGCCTATGTGTGCACACCTTAGCCCTGAAATCATGCATGGCACAAACGTCTGCATGTGCACACAAATGCTTCTCCAAGCAACAAGCCACAAAGGCAAAACGAATGGGAAACTGACAAGCTACCTGCATACAACAGAACGAAACTGCATAATAGTAGAAGCAAGCGAACTTACGGATCCCGAAAGTTCACGGCTTGCGGCTACGATTTCAGCTGTCGGTCCTCAATGCACCTGGCACACCGGCACACGAAACTCCAATTACTCATCAAGAGCTGCCGTCGCTCCTGGAAGGGTACCTTGGCAGCATAAGACGATCAAAAGACTTGACAACACATCAGAGAAGTGACAGAAACGAACCCCGGCCGAGGGAACGAGCCGAAGCCTTGGCCCTCCCTCAGTTTTGTCGGCCACCTATGGATCAAGTCTGGGGACCCAGAACCTTTCAGACAATCTGCCCGATGGCTTCGAAACTCAAGCTGAGCGTGGAGCATGGCGAATGCTTTGCTCGACCCTGACCGCGAAGGTCTGTTGCCTCCCGCCTTGCTAGGAGGAATCTGGTTCGGAAGGACCCTTTGCAAGCCGAGCGGCGAACAGGTAGTCTGAGTTGTAGCTGTACACGATCCTTGCGTGGCTGTGGCTTGAGGTCTGAGCAAGACATTGCGCTGGTCAGACCCAACAACTCCTGAGCAGACTTCTGGGCTTAATTAGGCGCATCATAATACAGCGGAGAGTCTCCGTCCCCGGCAGTATTGGCGTCTCTGAGACAGCGACCATGGCAAAGTTGCACGCCTCTGCAACATTCGAGAAATGTGGTGCCAAGCAAGTGCATGCATGACACGAATTTGAGCATCGCCAACCTTTTGAACTTCCCAAAGCTCAATTAAAGCCACAAAGGTCGTGGACATGCATCTGATGAATGAAGCACCAAGCAGGCATCAGAGCACCTCAACCATGCCGAGGCGGGTGATGGCTGCATTCGGGGCGCAGCTGTGGTTGAAAAGCGCCATAACAGGCAGCAAACAGCTGCCCTCGGATTCAAAGCAGTTAAAGCGCACCTTGGAGTACCTGAGCCGCACAAGCCCTGGGCCAAGCCGCACTGCATGGGTGCTCATTTTGTTCAAAGTGCGTCTGAGCCACACATCGGCCCATTCCTGCGTAAGCTCAGGAATCCGAACGATCATGATATGTCAGACCGTGTCATCACCGTTTCAGCCGAGCTGGGCTTGCAGCCTGGTCCGTAACACCATCGGGCAATGCACCGTCCCAACCTGCAGGGGTGAGCTGAGACAGCGAAAAAGCCCAGCAGTGAAACTCCCCCGGCCTTGCAAGTGGCACAAAGGTCCTGTATAGAGGTGCGCAATCTTTGCGACCATCTGCAGGCAGCGGGTCCATGAAGCGACATAATGCTGAACCGGAAGACTGGCTCATTATGGCATGCCTCCCTGCAGTCGATCACAGCTTTGGCCAATCGCTCGGGAGTTCTTGCGCGCAAGCCTTTCTCTTTCCACACGACCTCCTTAGTCTCCGAGTCTTTAGCCAACATCTTCAGCAAATGCCATGGAGTTATAACTTCCAATGTCGAAAGTAGTTCGGGAAGGTGCGTTCATAAAGTCAACTCAATGGCTCCAGGCATCGCCGCAGTTGAACTGGCGTGCTGCAACAAGGCCCCGGCCTCAGCGTTTCGGAAACCTACAGAGGAGAATAAACAAGTTCCCACCATCATCTGAACTGATTAGGTTGTAGGCTCATCATTTAGACTCCTTGGGATTAGTTTCGCTCGCAACATTCTCACCTGTCGCTGATGGAGTCGGACTCTTCACTGCCGAAGTTTTGCTCGCTTCACACCACGAGCTGTGCATCGTCGAGACGGACTTTCTTCACAGAGACCATGAGGTGCCCACCATCAGCCTGCAGGCTCGCCGTCAATGAAGCTGTGATGTCCGGAAGTTGCCTCTTCGACCACAGGTCGAGCACGGACAGGCGGTCAGTAGCAGCAAATCCCAAAGACGCAAAGCAAATCTGATCACACGTCAGGTTCTGCTGTTGATGGCCGACGTTCAGAAATACCAAGGCAGCCCCCTCCGACAACCGACGGCCCCAGATGTTGCCAGTGGACCTTCCGTCTGCTAATGAGCTCCCGTACAAGCGTCGCCCTGGCTGTCCAAGTTGATCTTGGCTGACGGCGATGACCTCTTTGTTGCTGTAGGTTGCAAGTGTCTCTGCACTCATGTTCAATATACTACCACTGATCAAGAGCGGCGCCGCCAAAACAGCCCACATGGAAAACTGTGCTCGCGATTGCACTTCTGAAACACGACTCGCACCTGTCCACTGTCTGCTGAGAAGCAGGCATGGATCATTCCAGCCACCTGGGCCTGCGAATTTGTCCAAGCCGTTCATTGCATCGATATTCTTCAGAACGCCGGGCCAATTTGTATCATCTGGGCCGATACGCCAGCTATTTCCCAGCAGCTTGCCCATGGGTGCATACCAGCTGCTCCAGCCACACAAGCTAAACAGAACCGGACGCCCAGTCGCGTTAAGGGCATCTCGCATCCGGCCATACTCTGCGAAGGCAGTTTCATGGTCTGAAGGCGCATTGCAAGAGTCCTCTTTCAGATAATCAACCCCCCATTCAGCATAGGTCTTGGCATCAATATCTTCGTGGTTGGCGGCACCTGGGCGGCCTGCACATGTTGCACTGCCTCTGTCGGTGTAAGTGCCAAACTGCAAGCCCTTGCTGTGAACATAGTCCGCCAGCGGCTTCAAGGTGCCACTGGGGAACTTGGCCGGATCCGCATAGACACTGCCATCTGGCAGCCGTCCCTTGGCCCAGCAGTCATCCAGATTCAGGTACTGGTAACCCAGATCCCGGAGCCCTGTCGACACCAAAGCATCAGCTATCTGCCGCAGCGTGGTCTCGTTCATGGAGTCAGAGCACTCCAAGTCATACCAAGAATTGTAGCCCATTTGTGGTGTGCGAGCCAAGCCATTCTCCAGAGCATGTGCGCTGATGCAGCACCATGCCACAAACAGAGCTCCCAGTCTTTGCTGGAAGCGCATGGTCCCTATAGCTTGGCAGATTTCGCTCTAAGTAGCCTCCCTCGATCCATAGAAACTGGGCAAACAAACAATGAAACCTTCCGCCTGCCATGATCCTGTCCATTATGTCTCAACGCCACAGCCAGGACAGGACTGGATTATGCAGTGACTCGCCTCGCCTCTCGGACAAGAAAAACTTCACTCAAGACCTCACCTCACCGAGGCATGAGCATTGCTTCCGAGCCCCCGACCAGCACGACCAACGCTTTGAAGGGCCAGCCCAGCTTCCGCCAGTGTGTCGGCTAACGTCTCCATGGGAGCGCATCGGAGTGCCGGTGTCCCCAAGAGTCCAATGCTTCGGGTGCTTTCATGAAAATCCTGACGGAAAGCCTTTTCACATGACTGCGCTCGAGCTTCAGCCGCTAGTCAGGTCCTCTCAAATTCTGTGCGAATGAGCTGCTACGCTTTGCCCGCTCAGCAGCGGTAGCTTGCAATCCATCTCTGCATGTTACAAACCCGACCGACAACACATGATCGCACAACAAAGTCTTGCGTTCACTATACTATAGATTGCGATTGTCATGAAACTCTTACTAGATACCTGTCCTCGCCAATCCCTTTGCCACGAAACCTGGCTCAGACACTTACATCCCACAACTGGTGTGCAAACCTGTGACACTCATGAACCCTGGACTCCAAATCCTCGAGTGGATCAATGGGAAGAGACAATGGAAAAGCTCAGAATCAGCAGCAACATCCAGACTCTCGCAGGACTCAGGGCCATGCCATGAAAGAGTTGGGGGACAGCACCTTCACGACGCCCTGGTGACCAGGTCTTGGAGCCAAGTCAACTCAACGGCCCACTTCAAGATTTCAGCTACCACACAGCTCCATGAAGGCACTGTTCCTATCAGGCAGGGCCTTCGAATTTGTATGATCATGCCTTGAGCATATGAAGTATGATGAACACGTGTTCAACGTGGCTGCGCGGTTCTCATATCCGGAGCTGCACATCGTGAGCACAAACAGCCTGCACCAAGTGCGTCTTGGGGGAACTGCGCAGCTCCGATGTTGGTCTGGTTCCTGGCGGTGAAAGATCTGTTAAAGATGGGACGCTGTCATCGGAACGCACACCCGAAGCGACAAAAACCAGGCATGACGCTCTCCAGTGACTCGAGCGAAAAGATTTCAGATTTCCCGGGTGTTGGCACCTTTCGGGGTTTTGCTCCTTTGGTGCTTATCAGTTCGGTTTCGGATTTTCGTTGGTCTTGAGGTCTCCATCGAACTTACTTTGTATCCGGTTGCGGGGGGCGGGGGAAAAAGCTCTTTTCGGATAAGGACATATAATATGGCATGGTATGATGGCGATGGTGACCACGACGACCATGCGATGATGATGATGATGATGCACGGTTTGTGGTCAGGGCTTTTAGCTGGCGATGCCCCGCGCCGCCAGTGAGTGCTGTCAGGGCGGAGGATGATAACATCGTGTTGGAAGCCTGTTGCTCTCAGCGCCATGGTTGTTCACAGGGCATGTCAGAAGCTCAGTCGGAAAGGTCCTTCGTGTGCGTGCTGGATCCGTGCAGTCTTTCAGGGGCATGCGCCGGGTCATGAGCACTTTCCTGGCCCTGGTCATAACTCTTGCCTACCATGCTCCTTCGACATGCTTTTTTCTCCTCTAGAAACCAAACCGCCCGTCCAGACTATAGAGTGTGACACGCTCCTGACTATTGTTCTCATCAGTCTTGTCACTTGCCTGCGTATGTCTTGCCACGCTGCTCTCTCAGGCAGCTTGACTGCGCAAGAGATTGGCTTCCCAATACCTCCAAAATCCTCCAAAGTAGTGCCGCACGGCAAGAGACTTACAGACTTGTACTTTTCTGCTGTGCTGAGTAGTTGCCGCCACTGTACGGTTTTAAGTCCCCACCCGCCTGCTTGCAATTGCATCATTACGTGCCTCGTTGTTTCACGTGGAGGAAAAACGAGTTGTGATATCAGCTCATTCAGTTCGCTAAACGCGTGCTCAAGTGCTCAAACCAGTGTAAAATGCAAATGCACCATTCCATGTGATCCGTCGTGAGGATCGCACTCTTCCTGATAGCGTGTAACCAGAGCAAACAGAACATGTCGACACCACAGTTCCGCGCAGCTCAGAACCAAAAACACCAAAGAGCATGGCTTGATTCAAGTCGACTGTGTCCTCCGAAGAAGGCACCCGGGTCCGAGCCTTGGAACAACCGAGCCCCCCCACTGCCTATGCACAAGCAGATTATCTTTAAAGTGCCAGTGCAGGGCAGCAAGGAGCATCGGGCGATTACCTCAAAGCAGTCGCTAAATCGAATACATCCTGAAACCCTTATGCTGCCACCTGGCGCAACTTGCGATTAAACGCTTGGCTCACATGTGCCCGGTCCTTCGGCCTCAAGCAAAACCGGCGTCCATGCTAAGCCGTGATGCCCTCCGACACCTTACAGATATTTAAAACCAGGCCCAACTCCCAAATCCTGGCAACCTCAGAGGGTTGGACCTGATCTATTGTCTCCGTTTGGTTACACGTCCGAACATAGCCGACATGGCCGCTTTGTATGTCAACATGTGCTGCCTATAGTCTATCAGCCCCAGTTCCATATTCATATTGGGCTTCGACACGTCTATGCACTGTCACATGATCATGATGGCTAACGATCCTTTCATTACTTCTTCATGCTGCTTGTATTCTGCTTTCCTGTGTCCGAAATTACGGTATGCAATGGTGCGAATTAGGAAAGATCCCTTCAAATTTTCATCCGGGACACTGCTGCTGTTTGCAGTTCCTGCGGATGGCGACATGAAGCATAAACACAAAGCACGGCGACAGCAACTTGAGATTTGGCTGGTCATGGCCTAATTAAGCCCTCGGTATCTGTTCATCATCGGATTTCGGCTCTCACACTTTGCCCGCTGCCCGGGGCACGTTGACAACCAAGAATGTGTTCTTCGAGCGAGTCAGGCGTAAGCGCTTTCTATGGTGTAGCATGTTGTCGACAAAGTTGATTTTCGCCAGCAGGCACCAGGGCCGAACAATGCCTGCACCCCAGGCCTTGGCCAAACAGACACCTGCGGCCCTTTCATAAACTGTAATCACGAACGACCCATCCGTGCCAGTGCTTCCAAACACGAGCAGCATGCCATCAGTCGTATCGCAAAAACAGTATGAGTCTACGCCGGAATTCCTATGACATGTCGTGAACAGGACGATGCACAGCTCGATAGTTCTCTACGACCCGAAGATGTGATCGGCCTGAGGGGTTTGGCTTGTGGAATAATGCCTCCGCTCTGGGCTTTATACACC